CCGTCGTACACCCATCATGCCCCGCCACCTTCAATGTCGCCCACCCTTTCGCCCCCGTCCCAGATGCCTCACGCCCACCGTCCATCGTCGTCCCATTCCCACTCTTCTCGTCATCGCCTCAGTCCTTCCTCCAACCCATACCCACTGCCACCTCCATCCATCTCCACTCCTCACCAGTTTTCACCACCCATCTCAGCCATGGCAACCAGCAAGTTACCCTCTTTTGGTTGGAGGCCCTGGTTCAAGCGGCTACAGAAGAGCGGCGGCGTATCAGTGGTGGCAGCTCCACTGAGTCTGACATTCCACGGCGTCCAAGCCCTCCTGTCGAGCAGCGCCATCTGGCCCAACCTCAGCAATTTGTCCATCAACAACCTTTTCGGCCGCATAAACTTCCCGATGACCATATCCGCTCACCCATTGAACATCGTTCCCCATCCCTCAGTCCGGTTCAGACCATCCGAAGTCCAGCTCAGACCATCCGAAGTCCAATTCAACCCATTCGTAGTAGCCCCGTCTATTCGCCCCTACTACAACATCAGCCAGTACCTCGTCACCGTGTCACCGAAAGACACCGCGTCCCCGTCGAAGAGCCCCAGATTCGTCTGAGCCCAGTTGATGATCTTCTCTATCGTCCTCCTCAATCCGTTTTCTTCTCCCCGCCACCTCAACCTCAGCGGCAGCAGTTGGAGCACGAATACCGCATGCAGCAACAACAACATGAATTGCAGCGCCAGCGCCACCATCACGAACAGCTTCTCATCCAAGAGCAGCAGCAACAACAACTTGCTCGTGAACGCCAGACGGTTTACACCGAAAGATCTCCACTTCCTCCTCCTCCTCCTCATACACACCGGGGACCATCGATGCCCTTGCAAGTAGAGGGACCTTCACTATCTCCACATCAACATCGCTCTCCTCCCATCCCTTCATCTCATGCTGGCGGGCGCAAGTCGGATCCCGGCCAGGGTCATCGTGTCATTGCGCCAGTCCATGCCGATCCTATTCCACCTCCATCCACGCGCCCACTTCCTGAGCCAGCGCACGTGGGGGAGGGGTCATCGCATCCGAACAAGAAGCGGAGATACTCCGATTCACCCGTCCATCCCATATCTTCAGAGGAGAAGGAGCGCATTCGTCGTGAGCGGGAGAAGATGGTGACGGGAGATCTTGGGTACGGACGTCCTGAGCCTATGGCCAATGCAGGTGCATCAGGTCCGAGAAGACCTGGATCAGGCCACGGTCCTGGCCGCAAGCATATGGGATTAGCAGAACTTATTACGCCAAGCCCGGGAGAACGGATTCACGTTTCCAGCAGTACTCTATCAGCTGTGGAAAATGGTCGTGAAGCACACGGTTTACTCAGTCCTCCCGGTCGGAGGTCTCCTCCTGGAAGCCAGTCCGGTAGAGCTCGAGCGGCCCGGAAATCAGAAGAGGTAGAGCATACCTTGCTTGACGTAGTGTCGCATGTTGTTTCTGATAAGCAGGCGCGGTTGCCCGAGAAGGAGGAGAGGAAGAAGCCTCAACCTCGGCCCCAAGCTGAGGGGCCCACGACTTCTGAATCCGCGCCGCCCAAGATGAAGTCGCGCCCACCCCCCGCCTCCACTTCCACCAGCATCCGCGATCAAGGCCCGGGAAGAGGATGCGCATGAATGGTTCTTGGAACATTTCGACGATTATAATGCACCCACCGTCACTCAGAACTCGCCGCCACATGCACCCTCCACTCCTGCAGTCCCTGCGCCTTCCGCTCCTTCTGGCCTTCCTGCATCCGGGAGTCCCCCACCGAATAAGCGGACACCTACGCCATCAACTATGCCAGAGGCCGCTGTAGCCCTCGAGCAGGAATTAGAGGAATTATGTAGCCCCTCTGAACATGTCAGTAAGGTCGAGCCTGACATGAACATGGAGGTGGACCTTGCAGTGACTGAACTTGTCGCGGAGACATTGAATGCAGATGGTGCCAAGGTCGAAGACATGGGGATGGAAGTGGACGTGGAAGACGAATTGTTGAGTCTAGTAGATGACCGGCCTACCATTCGTCGACCCATTATGAAATCCTCTACGCCTGGTCCATCGACTACGAAACTCCCGGCGCCCGTGCGAGCTAGTTCCACCGGTGTTAGGCATCCTTCGCCTTCTGCCGTGTCTGCGGTATCCGCTCCATCCCCCGCTGGATTTCTTTCTCCCGCCGTGAGACCATCATCTACGCGGCCCACGTCCGAACGTGGCTCGATGCCTCCACCGGCCTCAGTTGCTCCTGGACGAGGCAAGGACAAGGAAGAGAAGAACACAGATCGAGCAGGCAGTGTAGCTGCCACTGCCCCAATGGTCTAAGAAGAAGAAGGATGGGTCATCGAAAGTGCGTCTTGCTGCTCTCGATGGCAGTCACCTGATACTGATGATGATGATTTACATAGCCTGGTGCAAAGGCAAAGGCAACATCCGCAACAGCGACGACAGCTAAAGGTCGAACGAAACCTGGTCCGAAGCCGAAGCCCAAAACTTCGGATGCCTCTCTATCGGCTACTGCCACCAAGTCTAAAGGCGCAGGCTCCAAAAAGCCTGCTGCGTCTCGGTCGCGTTCAACGTCTGTTATGCCAAGCGGGTCCGCTGGGCCCGAGAGTAACGAGACAAAGGCAGAGAAGCAGGAGGAGGAAGAAGAATCTGACCCGGAGGACGACAAGTTGTATTGCGTGTGCAAGACAAAATACGACGAGGACCGAGTTATGATTGCCTGCGACCGGTGAGACGTTTGTTCGTTACGTGGAAACGCACTCTGACGTGTTGTTGGGTAGATGTGATGACTGGTATCATACTCAATGTGTCAACATGCCTGATCTCGAAGTTGATCTTGTGGACCAGTTTATATGTCCTCCATGCATCGAGAGTAAGGATATCTTTTTCGAATTCGTCATACCGTTGTTGACCTTTGCGCTTAGAAAACCCGCATCTCTCACTTCGCACGACGTACAAACCTCGCTGCTTATACGGCCTCCGGCATCCAGATCCCTGTTCGACGAAGGCGTGTCATCGCCCGGCCCGTGGCGCATTCTCGAAGTATTGCTCCGATGAATGTGGTGTTAAATATATGCAATCGCGTGCCGATGCATGGGCAAAAAAGGGAGGGAAGACAGAGAAGCTCTGGGAGACCGTTAAAGACGCTGAGAAGCGGGAAGGAGTTGTGATCTGTGCTGAAGATCAGAACGGCCTGAATATGGAAGTTGACGAGGTATGCAAGACTGAGAAGGAGAAAGCGTTGAAGCAGAAGAGGGGGAAGATTGAACGGGAGGTCGAACGTCTAAACGGACTTCTCGACAATGTCGTGATGTTACGCGAAGAGATCAAGAAGGGGATGGATGGAGTGATTTGGCGGGAAAAGTTGCTGGAGCTGGCGACGGAGAGAGCGGAACAAGTTGGTGAATGTGGATGGGACCAACGTCTTTGTTTTGGCGATGAAGAGTGGGCAGAGTTTGGAGTGGGTGTCCTTGAGAGCTATGATGATATGAAAGCGGAGCAAGGCGAAGGTGGGACCGCCGAGGGCGAAGGAGAGTGGTGGTGCCCAGGGAAGAAGATGTGTGACCGCCATGCTGGGTAAATCCTTTGTCACTGGTCATTTGGCGATTCTGATGTTCTTCATCCCTCAGCTGGCAGACGGTCCGATACAGGGATGTCTGCAAAGAAAAGGAAAAGAAGGAGGACGCCCTCTCCAACCTTACGACCCGAGAACGCGAAATTCGCAAACGCATCGAGGATATCCTTGATCCTCATGGACGCAACTGTAACGATTCATCTGGTAAATCGCCGCTCAAGGCATCTAATGCCAAGCTATCCAACGGCCACACGAAAGGGAAAACGAATGGTGATACGACAAAGAAGGGCAAAAAACGCAAAGCGCCCTCATAACATAGACCTGTATCATAACTTACGTCTTTCTAGGACTACTTACTTGTAGGCCATACATATATGTTTTCTTTGCTCTGAGGTTTTTACTCTCGCACGTTTTGTATACTACGAGTCTTCGTCTTCATCTTGTTCTGTAGCAGTTTGTCCGTGTTCAGGGGGAATCAATCGATTTCAGTGCTGTGTACCGTCAGGCACAAAATGGTGTAAGTACAACAGTAATACAATATAGTCCAGATCCCCTTCTAAGGCATTAATGAATCTGCCAGCGTAGGCCATCCGCTCGCGGTGGTTACACTACGTCGCACGCCAAAAGGCAACAATTCCGACCGCTAATATCCATCTCCCTCGCCTCCTTCCTTGCAGAATCCCTTCTTCTCGTAGAGAATTTGGGATTTGCTCTCTTCGCGTTGTTTCTTAGCCTCAGCGTCATTCTTAGTGGTAAGGTTCCAAGATGTGCCAATCCACTTGTTGCAGGGGAATTTCGTCTTCTCGGTCAAGGTCCTAGGTAGAAGCATTAATACGGTCGGAACACGAGTGGAGTGGTTAGACGCACTATTTCGCCCAGAAGAACGACATTCTCGCCACGAATAAGATAAAGACCTCGCCAGCTCTCAGCAAAGGCATCGCCATGGTATATTCGTTCTACGGTGTCTTCCAAAACAAGATTCGCTGAGGGATTTGACTCAGCGGAGCCTCAGGTTGACGCATGACACAGGTGGGCTCACCGAATTGATCATATGAGCGTAACACGCCCTGTAGTTTTCGGCCATCTCGTAGTATAACCAGCATCTTCCCTAGGCAAAATCGAGCAAGAAACAAAGAATGTATGTCAAGGCATGAGTGGGGAGATGACGGATGCGCTCAGGACGTGGTGGTTCATTTGACTTGGGGTAGACGTACTGTCCACGCAATCCACCAGAGACCCTGAAGTTGTAAAGGGGATTAGAGAGTCCATGTTGCTGGACACGACGACGAATCTGTATACTACAAGATGGTCTGAAGGAAACTGGAGTTGTTTGTATCGGGCGTGCAAGGCAAACATGTAACCTCAGGTCAGACTATTCACACTTGCATGTCGCCACAGCAAAAGAAATCGACGCTGGAAACAGGATTTGAACCTGCGCGGTGAAACACCAAGTGATAGTTGACAATTCAAATCACTCGCCTTAACGACTCGGCCATTCCAGCTCATCAGTCGCACCGCACAATACTCTCAGGACCTCGTCTACATAGGATTGTAACCTACACAAAACACCTCCTTATTCTATTGTACTGCCTTTCAACCATGTGCCAACTCGCGGGAAATCTGTTCTTGTGCTGGTGTGCACGAGAGAAAATGGTGCTTGTCAAGTGTAGGAGGAATCCATGTCGACATCATCATGGGCTCTGTCCAGCGTACTCCCACTGCCCTGGTTCTGGTTTTTCTTCCAGAGGTTCCCATCTGTAAGATAAAGGTCCATAAACATGATTCGAGAATACAATGAATAAAGAGCGCACGCTTTCCACTGGACCATCTTTGCAGCCAGCTTCAGCTCATCCGACGCGATATCTAACGACTCCTCAATCTGGCCCTCGTCCAGCTGCTTCTCTACGGTGGAAATGTCCCCATTTGCACCCTGCACGATTTTGAGTTTGCGAAGAGTGAGTGCCTCGACACCTTGTCGGTAAACGGAGGACGGAGGTATCGAGGAGAGCACGGAGAGAGTTGTTTCGTAGGCTTTAGTGAGCTCGGGGAGGGGATTTGGATGTACTGCTAGACCCGTGAGCCCCGTGGATCGTTTGAGGACCTGGGCGAGAGGACGAGTAATGCGAAACATGAGGGCGCTGAGGTCGCCGTGGGCGCGGAAAGAACAGGTTTGGTTGCGGAGTCCGAATTGCCAAAGTTCGCCTTGACCACCATGGCTGCATTGGCGTTGGGTGTCCTGCCCTCTTTTCGACATTCCGTAGCCTCAAGCTCGCGTTCAGTGTCCAGGACACTCTTTGCCGCGTCCCTCATCCCTGCATGGACGACCCCCATCTGGACGATACCCTCACTTAAAGCTCTACTCGAGCTCATTCCTCCCTTCCTTCTCGCCGTCCCCAAGTCCAAGATATCACATTCACGGAAATCCATGCGCAGTGCCAACAAAGGCCTCAAAGACAAGCAAAGTGAGTTGCCGTGGTTCTACTGACTCCTCCGACTTACGTCTGTTCCGCCAGATATTGTCAACTGCCCAGCGTGCGGCTCACCAAAACTTGCCCACCACCTATGCCAAAATTGCTACAACTTTCTCAGTCGAATGTGGAAGTCGAGGGGAAAAAGCGGAGATATTCCCGACATGTCATGATTGTGTGTTTTGTTTCTGCTCCTAGTATCTACTTCTTCTGAATAATAGGCCGCGCGACCCTCTCTTTTACCGTGCATACGATTAGCTCCAGCTAGGTAGATTCGCTACAACTAATTACCATCGCTTTAAATCGAGTGTCTCGCAGTCTAAGTTATTTTTCATATTTTGGACACGTGAGAATGGTAGTGCCTTCCGAAGACCATCACAATGGATGATATCGACTCGTAAGGTTCTGGACCTTCCCAACTACTCACGCGATTCCCCGACATGCTCCTCTCCTCGTCACTCATCCAGCGTGTGCCCCCTCTCGTTAGGGCTGCCTCCGCCCAAGCTGTGCCCCGCGGCCTCGCTGCCATCCTACAAAAGAATCCAGAAGATGTCGTCATAACTTTTGCGCAGCGTACTGCGATGGGAAGGGCGAAGAAGGGGCAACTGAAAGACACGCCGGTCGATGAAATGCTACATGCCCTGTTCAAGGCGAGATCCATATTGCTGCTGCCTGTTTGATGACGTTAGTGACAGCTCCACCCAGTCAACTCTGGAGAAGACCAAGCTCGATCCCTCCAAGATAGATGATATTTGCGTAGGTGAGAAGCTCTTCTTTTACACCTGTAGTCGCTAACCTTGCAGTAGGAACTTGTCACCCACCTTCACCCCTCTATGTTTCTCGTGCTGCGGCCCTGGCAGCTGGCATTCCCCACGATGTGCCTATCTCAACTGTAAATCGGCTGTGCTCGTCGGGGTTGATGGCAATTCGCACCATCGCGCATGCTATCCAGGCCGGGGAAACGTCCCTTGGTCTCGCCGTCGGTGTTGACAGCATGAGCCTCAAGTTCGTACTCCCAACTAACACTTACTTCTCCAACTCAAGTAACAAATAGTCCTCGGCCCACGCCTGCTGTGTGCGACGCTGTTGACTCCGCTCCGGCCGCCCACGACTGCATTCAGGTACGTCCAAGCTTTGAATATCGCGTCGACCCGTCTTCATGAGATACGCAGCCCATGGGTTGGACTTCGGAGATGGTCGCGGAAACGTACAAGATCTCGCGACAGACACAGGACGAATACGCGTTGATATCGCATACGAGGGCTAACAAGGTATTTCCCGCTTGCGTAGATCAGTGCTCGTGTTATAGCTGAATTGGACAGGCTGTGTCGAGTGGTATTTTTGCGGATGAGATCCTCCCCATTGAGGTCAAGGGCGAGGTAATTTCTGTGGACGATACCGTCCGACCAGGCGTAACCGCGGACTCCCTGGCTTCCCTCAAACCTGTCTTCCCCAATTGGGGTGAAGCTTCTACCACCGCTGGCAATGCCAGTGGAGTTGGTGATGGTGCAGCACTTTGCATTCTAACTACTCGCGAGCGCGCAGAGAGAGAAGGAATGAACATCATCGGTAAATGGGTTGGAAGTGCGGTTGTTGGTGGGTCCATTTCTCCTTACTGAATGTGAGCAGGAGCAGAATGTTCTACTTTTTAGGTGTTGAACCTAAGTATATGGGTATTGCACCTATTTATGCTGTTCCCAGGTCCTGTCGCAGCTAGGTCTAACAAAGGAAGATATTGACGTCTACGAGGTAACAGACCACATCTTCTGTTCGTCTGACAAGCATGACTTATCTTCATGCCTTAGATCAACGAAGCCTTCGCTTCACAATTCGCCTATTGTGTCGAAGAGTTAAAGATACCCATGGAGAAAATCAACCCGAAGTATGTTTTCCGCCCTTTGAATACTCTTTGTACTCACAGCAATGCGAAACTAGCGGCGGCTCTATTGCCCTTTCACATCCACTTGGAATGAGTACGTTGAATCCCCGTTTCCGCTGGGAAGAATCCTGACCTCCCGTTGCGGCAGCTGGTGTTCGTCAAGTGGTGACCGGCCTCGCGGAACTTCGACGGAACGGGGGAAATCTTCTTTGCACCAGCATGTGCATTGGTAGCGGAATGGGTGCAGCTGCAGTCTTTGTTAATGAAGCTCGTCGCTGATCGGGCCATGTATCCGGTATTTCTTTTCAACAATGTAACTATACCAGGGTTTATACCAAGAACTTTCTTTGCGCCACAGCTAACCCTAATACGTAAGTAAGTGTACGGAAAAAGTCCAGGCCAGGAACGCGTTGAATTCAAGTCGAAACTCGGTTTGACTGATCTTATTGGAGAAAATTTGTATGATCTCCCACGGTGATAAATTCAATAAACCCATTTTCCATTTTTATCGCATAAGGCAAAGCAAGTAATGATACACGGAGACAAAGAAGACTTGCAGCGCGATCTGAGGGGGGAAAAGGAATCAGAATGAATAACAATGAGGATGGCAGAAGTTCGAATTCAAGGGAAATCTCAGCAAGTCATTCATGTCAGTGATTCACGCGGAATAAATCCCGTTGCTCGTGAAGCAGGTCTACTAAGAGGTGCCAATGGTTGTAAAATGACAACACTCGTCATTGAAACGGAATTCGAAGATATAAGAGAGAGAGAGGAACTCACTGGATAGCTGGCGGTGGGATGATAGAAGCAGAGACGTCGAGGAACTTATATAGGTTCTGTAAGAGCACGTGCCTCGGCAGATGCCGTGATGGTACTGGCTATTTTTCAAGCCACCCAAGCCGCGTGACCCTGAGGAAGTATACGAAATCGGGACCGTTGAGTCAAGGTAGGCCCGTCGTCGTCGCAAGTCGCTCCCTCTCACTTCGTCTCCCAGCAATCAACCCTCAAAATGGCCGCCCAGATCAGCAAAAAGCGCAAGTTCGTAGCCGACGGTGTTTTCCGCGCCGAACTTAACGAGTTCTTCACCCGCGAGCTCGCAGAAGAGGGCTACTCTGGATGCGATGTCCGCGTTACTCATGCCCGCACTGAGGTGAGCAGCTTGACATGGTCATTCTGGATGAAAACTCACGAGATCATCCTAGATCATCATCCGCGCTACCCACACTCAGGAAGTTCTCGGCGAGAAGGGCCGCCGTATTCGTGAACTTACTGCGCTCGTCCAGAAGCGCTTCAAATTCCCCGAAAACTCCTTGGAGCTCTACGCCGAGAAGGTCCAATACCGTGGTCTCTCTGCTATCGCACAATGCGAGAGCTTGAGGTACAAGCTCCTCGGTGGTCTCGCTGTTCGCCGGTGCGTTCTGGACACACTAAACACTTCGACGATCAAACTGATTCCCTATCTTCTATAGTGCTTGCTACGGTGTCCTGCGTTTCGTCATGGAGTCAGGTGCTAAGGGTTGCGAGGTTGTTGTTTCCGGCAAGCTGCGTGCAGCTCGTGCCAAGTCAATGAAGTTCACCGACGGTTTCATGCTGCACTCCGGTCAGCCTGCCCGGGACTTTGTTGACTACGCTGTGCGCCACGTACTCCTGAAGCAGGGTGTGCTTGGTATCAAAGTCAAGATGTACGTTTTCTACTATAAAATTTCGAATGGGCTGCTAATCTGTTATCACAGCATGAAGGGATCCGACCCTGAAGGCCAGACCGGACCTCGTCAACCTCTCCCTGATTCCGTGCAAATCTTTGAACCTCCCGTCGACAAAATTGTTTCTGAACCCTCGTCCGAGCAACGAGAACCCATCGCCGTTGCACCCGCTGCTGCACCAGTGGAGGAGTCGTATCCCGCCGAGGCTGCTTACCAGCAACCCGAGGCGTATGCTGAGCAGCCAGTCTTCTGATTCGCATGTTGTTAGTCTTCTACTGATTCAAATCCATTTGGTACTACATCTTGAACATGTGAATGCAAAACGTTTTCCGATAGTTCAAAGGTAATAATCCATAAATGATCCAGATATCATCGAAGAGTATACAATCTGCACTATTAAGCCTATGTCCTGCTGAAACCGGTTACTGGATCGTTTGGGTCACACTGCTACC